GTCAGTGGGAGTGGACGTGCTGACGTCTGTCAGCGGGAGTGGACGTGCTGACGTCTGTCAGTGGGAGTGGACGTGCTGACGTCTGTCAGTGGGAATGGACGTGCTGACGTCTGTCAGTGGGAGTGGACGTGCTGACGTCTGTCAGTGGGAGTGGACGTGCTGACGTCTGTCAGTGGGAGTGGACGTGCTGACGTCTGTCAGTGGGAGTGGACGTGCTGACGTCTGTCAGTGGGAGTGGACGTGCTGACGTCTGCCAGTGGGAGTGGACGTGCTGACGTCTGTCAGTGGGAGTGGACGTGCTGACGTCTGTCAGTGGGAGTGGACGTGCTGACGTCTGTCAGTGGGAGTGGACGTGCTGACGTCTGTCAGTGGGAGTGGACGTGCTGACGTCTGTCAGTGGGAGTGGACGTGCTGACGTCTGTCAGTGGGAGTGGACGTGCTGACGTCTGTCAGTGGGAGTGGACGTGCTGACGTCTGTCAGTGGGAGTGGACGTGCTGACGTCTGTCAGTGGGAATGGACGTGCTGACGTCTGTCAGTGGGAGTGGACGTGCTGACGTCTGTCAGTGGGAGTGGACGGGCTGACGTCTGTCAGTGGGAGTGGACGTGCTGACGTCTGTCAGTGGGAGTGGACGTGCTGACGTCTGTCAGTGGGAGTGGACGTGCTGACGTCTGTCAGTGGGAGTGGACGTGCTGACGTCTGCCAGCGGGAGTGGACGTGCTGACGTCTGTCAGTGGGAGTGGACGTGCTGACGTCTGTCAGTGGGAGTGGACGTGCTGACGTCTGCCAGTGGGAGTGGACGGGCTGACGTCTGTCAGTGGGAGTGGACGTGCTGACGTCTGTCAGTGGGAGTGGACGTGCTGACGTCTGCCAGTGGGAGTGGACGGGCTGACATCTGTCAGTGGGAGTGGACGTGCTGACGTCTGTCAGTGGGAGTGGACGTGCTGACGTCTGCCAGTGGGAGTGGACGTGCTGACGTCTGCCAGTGGGAGTGGACGTGCTGACGTCTGTCAGTGGGAGTGGACGTGTTGACGTCTGCCAGTGGGAGTGGACGTGCTGACGTCTGCCAGTGGGAGTGGACGTGCTGTCGTCTGTCAGTGGGAGTGGACGTGCTGACGTCTGTCAGTGGGAGTGGACGTGCCGACGTCTGTCAGTGGGAGTGGACGTGCCGACGTCTGTCAGTGGGAGTGGACGTGCTGACGTCTGCCAGTGGGAGTGGACGTGGCGACGTCTGTCAGTGGGAGTGGACGTGCTGACGTCTGTCAGTGGGAGTGGACGTGCTGACGTCTGTCAGTGGGAGTGGACGTGGCGACGTCTGTCAGTGGGAGTGGACGTGGCGACGTCTGTCAGTGGGAGTGGACGGGCTCTCTGTCAGTGGGAGTGGACGTGCTGACGTCTGTCAGCGGGAGTGGACGTGCTGACGTCTGTCAGTGGGACTGGACGTGCTGACGTCTGTCAGTGGGAGTGGACGTGCTGACGTCTGTCAGTGGGACTGGACGTGCTGACGTCTGTCAGTGGGAGTGGACGTGCTGGCGTCTGTCAGTGGGAGTGGACGTGCTGACGTCTGTCAGTGGGAGTGGACGTGCTGACGTCTGTCAGTGGGAATGGACGTGCTGACGTCTGTCAGTGGGAGTGGACGTGCTGACGTCTGTCAGTGGGAGTGGACGGGCTGACGTCTGTCAGTGGGAGTGGACGGGCTGACGTCTGCCAGTGGGAGTGGACGTGCCGACGTCTGTCAGTGGGAGTGGACGTGCTGACGTCTGTCAGTGGGAGTGGACGTGGCGACGTCTGTCAGTGGGAGTGGACGTGCTGGCGTCTGTCAGTGGGAGTGGACGTGGCGACGTCTGTCAGTGGGAGTGGACGGGCTCTCTGTCAGTGGGAGTGGACGTGGCGACGTCTGTCAGTGGGAGTGGACGGGCTCTCTGTCAGTGGGAGTGGACGTGCTGACGTCTGTCAGTGGGAGTGGACGGGCTCTCTGTCAGTGGGAGTGGACGTGCTGACATCTGTCAGTGGGAGTGGACGTGCTGACGTCTGTCAGTGGGAGTGGACGTGCTGACGTCTGTCAGTGGGAGTGGACGTGCTGACGTCTGTCAGTCGGAGTGGACGTGCTGACGTCTGTCAGTCGGAGTGGACGGGCTGACGTCTGTCAGTGGGAGTGGACGTGCTGACGTCTGTCAGTGGGAGTGGACGGGCTGACGTCTGTCAGTGGGAGTGGACGTGCTGACGTCTGTCAGTCGGAGTGGACGGGCTGACGTCTGTCAGTGGGAGTGGACGTGCTGACGTCTGTCAGTGGGAGTGGACGTGCTGACGTCTGTCAGTCGGAGTGGACGTGCTGACGTCTGTCAGTGGGAGTGGACGTGCTGACGTCTGTCAGTGGGAGTGGACGTGCTGACGTCTGTCAGTGGGAGTGGACGGGCTGACGTCTGTCAGTCGGAGTGGACGTGCTGACGTCTGTCAGTGGGAGTGGACGTGCTGACGTCTGTCAGTGGGAGTGGACGGGCTGACGTCTGTCAGTCGGAGTGGACGTGCTGACGTCTGTCAGTGGGAGTGGACGGGCTGACGTCTGTCAGTCGGAGTGGACGTGCTGACGTCTGTCAGTGGGAGTGGACGGGCTGACGTCTGTCAGTGGGAGTGGACGTGCTGACGTCTGTCAGTGGGAGTGGACGTGCTGACGTCTGTCAGTCGGAGTGGACGTGCTGACGTCTGTCAGTGGGAGTGGACGTGCTGACGTCTGTCAGTGGGAGTGGACGTGCTGACGTCTGTCAGTGGGAGTGGACGGGCTGACGTCTGTCAGTCGGAGTGGACGTGCTGACGTCTGTCAGTGGGAGTGGACGTGCTGACGTCTGTCAGTGGGAGTGGACGGGCTGACGTCTGTCAGTCGGAGTGGACGTGCTGACGTCTGTCAGTGGGAGTGGACGGGCTGACGTCTGTCAGTCGGAGTGGACGTGCTGACGTCTGTCAGTCGGAGTGGACGTGCTGACGTCTGTCAGTCGGAGTGGACGTGCTGACGTCTGTCAGTGGGAGTGGACGGGCTCTCTGCCAGTCAGCAAATGAAGGAAATAATTTAGATCGTCATTCACTTCACAAAGACAACTCTTATTGGGAGAGTAACAACATAATAACTACAGGGAAGTTCTCCTGATACCGTCCTGATGGGTGACGCTGTCGTCCCCCCTCTGACACCGTCGTGTCCCCGCGGCCCGGTCCTCGACCAGGCCTCCACCCCCAGGAAGCAGCCCGTGACAGCTGACTAACTCCCAGGTACCTATTTACTGCTAGGTAACAGGGGCATTTAGGGTGAAAGAACTTTGCCCATTTGTTTCTGCCTCGTGCGGGAATCGAACCCGCGCCACAGAATTACGAGTCCTGCGCGCTATCCACCAGGCTACGAGGCCCCCATGTCTCAGACATTCCAAGCCACACATTCCAAATTGCTTCTTTTATATATCTTATATTTTGTCTATGGTGCAGGGGCAAATTTATTGAAGGCTTGGATTAACTTTTACTTTACAAACAACAAAGGCGCTCTGACACTGACGAACACTAAACGACCCTTACAAGTCTCCACAAAGTCATAGGAAAACTTAAGCCGAACAAATGAAAACCACTCACAGAGTGAGCCAAGGGAAGGACACTCGCTCCAGGAAGGAGATAAGCTATAATTTCAAGAGATCACGAGTCTTGGGAACTTACAAAGCTTGCTGGAATAAAGAGAACAAAACTTTGTATCTTGCAAACAGAAGTAAAGGTTTTGAAGAAAGTTTGTATTCCTAGAAAACTACATTATCGCCAAGGTGGGCAACTGAGGCCCACGAGAGATATCTGCGGATCCTGTTGATCGTAGTAAATGTATATATTTACATAGTAAATGTAAAAAAGATCCATGTAAATGATCATAGAAATGTTCATTAGACGTTGATATACAAGTTTCGTCCTAATCACACACTCAGACCTCAGCAAAGCACTCAGTAGAGTGTGAAAGACTTCGTGGAAATTATTTACACAAATTTCACAAAAACACGAGTGTGAGTTTACTAATTATCTGAGTTCGTGTGATAATTGACTCCTGAAAGTTTTTTGGGGGGGCCCTTGAAGCCGGACTGTTGTGATGAGGACACCTCATTATTCTTAGGCCCCTATTATTCTAGGGCCTTGGTGGCCTTATCTTCAGAGATTAAACCCCAAGTCAGGGTGAAGTTATCAAGAGTTAGCAGTAATAGACAACAACAGAGTTTCGGCTTGTTCGAGTATGTGTGGGTTTGTAGAATAAAACAAACGATATAAGAAATGCAACTAGAACAACAGAGAAAAATTTTATGTGATAATCGCTACTACTGGAGCCGGTCGGCCGAGCGGACAGCACGCTGGACTTGTGATCCTGTGGTCCCGGGTTCAATCCTAGGCGCCGGCGAGAAACAATGGGCAGAGTTTCTTGCACCCTATGCCCCTGTTACCTAGCAGTAAAATAGGTACCTGAGTGTTATTCAGCTGTCACGGGCTGCTTCCTGGGGGGTGGAGGCCTGGTCGAGGACCGGGCCGCGGGGACACTAGAAAAAAGCCCCGAAATCATCTCAAGATAACCTCAAGATAACTGATTTACTGAATCGGTCTGGTTGTGATGCTTTGTGGGCCTTCGGGGTTTGATGACAGCTTCACAGACCTGGCACTCATCAGAGGAAGCTGTCTACAAGCAGCTTAAGGACGGGGAAAAAAGCTCTCAAAATTGTAAACAAGTAGCAGTCGTGGGCAGGAAATTCTCATAAAGTTTCAAAACGTCATGAAAAACGTTAATTGAAAGTTCCTCTTCTAAGCTGTCCGAGGAGGGCCGGACTACTCAAACAGAAAACGGAACAGTACGTCACTTTTGTGAGTCGATTTCATTTCAAATTACGTCCAAATTTGGCCATAGCGCGCATACCAGCCAGAAGTGACGTTATTTTTAAGAGGACGGGTTGAGCAGTCATCAGGTAGAAACAGGTCCAATGATTAGATTTAACGGTTTTAGATGAGTGTTTTCGGGTCTGAAAATTGTCTTGAGGAAGAAATGGGTGTTTTGGCAGTGTCAAGTGTTCTGAAAACCTCTCCGGAATTTGCTAGAATCCTGGCTGGGACCGGTGGTGGGTACTGGGAGCATTCAGGCATACCAGTGTTCGCGTCAGTCAACATTACGACCAAAGTTTTGACGTCGGACACGAAAGTTTCACCACCATCCAGGCGCAACTTTGTATCTAAGGAAATTTGAATTTTACGGGATGGAAAGACCTCCTTTTTAGGGGGATAGGTAGAGGGACAGGAAGTGGGAATAGATGACTTGGTCGTCAGACATACTGGAGTCCAATTAGAAAATAAAGACCGAGAGAGGGGATCGCCAGGAACTAAATCCTGAGAGCCAGGCTGTGATACAAGGGAACCAAGTTCTGAGGCTAGGAAGACGGATCCTAGAAGAGAAGAAAAAGGTTCTGAGGGAAGAGAGCCAGGTTCTGAGGGAGGAGAGCCAGGTTCTGAGGGAGGAGAGCCAGGTTCTGAGGGAGGAGAACCAGGTTCTGTAGGAGGAGAGCCAGGTTCTGTAGGAGGAGAGCCAGGTTCTGAGGGAGGAGAACCAGATTCTGTAGGAGGAGAGCCAGGTCCTTTAGGAAGAGAGCTAGGTTCTGAGGGAGGAGAGCCAGGTTCTGTAGGAGGAGAGCCAGGTTCTGAGGGAGGAGAACCAGATTCTGTAGGAGGAGAGCCAGGTTCTGTAGGAGGAGAGCCAGGTTCTGAGGGAGGAGAACCAGGTTCTGTAGGAGGAGAGCCAGGTTCTGAGGGAGGAGAACCAGGTTCTGAGGGAGGAGAGCCAGGTTCTGTAGGAGGAGAGCCAGGTTCTGAGGGAGAAGAACCAGGTTCTGTAGGAGGAGAGCCAGGTTCTGAGGGAGGCGAGCCAGGTCCTTTAGGAAGAGAGCCAGGTTCTGAGGGAGGAGAGCCAGGTTCTGTAGGAGGAGAGCCAGGTTCTGAGGGAGGAGAACCAGGTTCTGAGAGAGGAGAGCCAGGTTCTGTAGGAGGAGAGCCAGGTTCTGAGGGAGGAGAACCAGGTTCTGTAGGAGGAGAGCCAGGTTCTGAGGGAGGAGAGCCAGGTTCCGATGGTGGAGAACCAGGTTCTGTAGGAGAGCCAGGTTCTGAGGGAGGAGAGCCAGGTTCTGAGAGAGGAGAGCCAGGTTCTGAGGGAGGAGAGCCAGGTTTTGCGGGAGGAGAGCCAGGTTCTGAGGGAGGAGAGCCAGGTTCTGAGGGAGGAGAGCCAGGTTTTAATCATCTTTTGAAGTAGATAAAAAGGTTCTTCTTCACAATTGAAGGAGATAGTCCAGTTCCTGATCCCCTTCTGAGGAGACATACACAGTGCTAGGGTCACATAACCCACAGTGCCAGGGTCATCTACCCAAGAGTGCCAGGGTTATCTACTCAACAGTACCAGTGTCATCTACCCCAAGTGTCATCTACCCAACAGTGCCATGGTCATTTACCCAACAGTGCCAGGATCATCTACCCAACAGTGCCAGGATCATCTACCCAACAGTGTCAGGGGCATCTACCCAACAGAGTCAGGGTCATCTACCCCTACAAGTACCAGTGTCATCTACCCAACAGTGCCAGTATCATCTACCCAACAGTGCCAGGATCAACAACCCAACAGTGCCAGGATCAACAACCCAACAGTGCCAGGATCAACTATCCAACAGTGCCAGGATCAACTATCCAACAGTGCCAGGATCAACTATCCAACAGTGCCAGGATCAAGTACCCAACAGTTCCAGGATCTTCTACTCAACAGTGGCAGGATCAACAACCCAACAGTGCCAGGATCAACAACCCAACAGTGCCAGGATCATCTACCCAACAGTGCCAGGATCAACTACCCAACAGTGCCAGGATCAACTACCCAACAGTGCCAGGATCAACAACCCATCAGTGCCAGGATCATCTACTCAACAGTGCCAGGATCATCTAGCCAACAGTGCCAGGATCATCTACCCAACAGTGCCAGGATCATCTAGCCAACAGTGCCAGGATCATCTAGCCAACAGTGCCAGGATCAACAACCCAACAGTGCCAGGATCAACAACTCAGCAGTTCCAGGATCATCTACCTAACAGTGCCAGAATCAACTACCCAACAGTGCCAAGATCAACTACCCAACAGTGCCAGGATCAACAACCCAACAGTTCCAGGATCATCTACCCAACAGTGCCAGGATCAACTACCCAACAGTGCCAGGATCAACTACCCAACAGTGCCAGGATCAACTACCCAACAGTGCCAAGATCAACAACCCAACAGTGCCAAGATCAACAACCCAACAGTGCCAGGATCAACAACCCAACAGTGCCAGGATCAACAACCCAACAGTGCCAGGATCAACAACCCAACAGTGCCAGGATCATCTACCCAACAGTGCCAAGATCAACTACCCAACAGTGCCAGGATCAACAACCCAACAGTTCCAGGATCATCTACCCAACAGTGCCAAGATCAACTACCCAACAGTGCCAGGATCAACAACCCAAAAGTGCCAGAATCTTCTACCCAACAGTTCCAGGATCTTCTACCCAACAGTGCCAAGATCAACAACCCAACAGTGCCAGGATCAACAACCTAACAGTGGCAGGATCAACAACCCAACAGTGGCAGGTAACCCAACAGTGCCAGGATCAACAACCCAACAGTGCCAGGATCAACAACCCAACAGTGCCAGGATCAACAACCCAACAGTGCCAGGATCAGCAACCCAACAGTGGCAGGTAACCCAATAGTGCCAGGATCAACAACCCAACAGTGCCAGGATCAACAACCCAACAGTGCCAGGATCAACAACCCAACAGTGGCAGGTAACCCAACAGTGCCAGGATCAACAACCCAACAGTGGCAGGTAACCCAACAGTGCCAGGATCTTCTACCCAACAGTGCCAGGATCAACAACCTAACAGTGCCAGGATCAACAACCCAACAGTGGCAGGATCAACAACCCAACAGTGCCAGGATCAACAACCCAACAGTGGCAGGATCAACAACCCAACAGTGCCAGGATCAACAACCCAACAGTGCCAGGATCAACAACCCAACAGTGGCAGGATCAACAACCCAACAGTGGCAGGATCAACAACCCAACAGTGCCAGGATCAACAACCCAACAGTGGCAGGTAACCCAACAGTGCCAGGATCAACAACCCAACAGTGCCAGAATCATCTACCCAATAGTGCCAGGATCAACAACCCAACAGTGCCAGGATCAACAACCCAACAGTGCCAGGATCAACAACCCAACAGTGGCAGGTAACCCAACAGTGCCAGGATCAACAACCCAACAGTGGCAGGTAACCCAACAGTGCCAGGATCTTCTACCCAACAGTGCCAGGATCAACAACCTAACAGTGCCAGGATCAACAACCCAACAGTGGCAGGATCAACAACCCAACAGTGCCAGGATCAACAACCCAACAGTGGCAGGATCAACAACCCAACAGTGCCAGGATCAACAACCCAACAGTGCCAGGATCAACAACCCAACAGTGGCAGGATCAACAACCCAACAGTGGCAGGATCAACAACCCAACAGTGCCAGGATCAACAACCCAACAGTGGCAGGTAACCCAACAGTGCCAGGATCAACAACCCAACAGTGCCAGAATCATCTACCCAACAGTGCCAGAATCAACAACCCAACAGTGCCAGGATCAACAACCCAACAGTTCCAGGATCAACTACCCAACAGTTCCAGAATCAACAACCCAACAGTGGCAGGTAACCCAACAGTGCCAGGATCTTCTACCCAACAGTGCCTGTGTCAGTGTTTGCACTCTTCACGTTGTTTTATATTTCCAGTAGTAGCTGTTTGGTTGCTGGAAATGCTGTTGGGGGACTGTTGACGAGTTCGGTGTTCTCCTCCCACCCCGGCTGAGGCTCAGCTAGCCTTCGGGGACACGTAGCGGAGCACGTTAAGACAGCGGCCTCTCGCGTATCTCTACTAATTCTTGCAACCCGTTCTCGCAAATTTAATAAGTCAATATTGACTTATTAAATATGTGCATAGGTGACATACTTAACATAATAGATACCCTTAAAAAGATTCATAGAAAACACCGACCTTACCTAACCTTGTTAGTATCTTAAGATAAGCATCTTATTGCTTCGTAATTACAATTATTACTTAACCTATAATAGGTATAGGTTAAGTAATAATTGTAATTACGAAGCAATAAGATGCTTATCTTAAGATACTAACAAGGTTAGGTAAGGTCGGTGTTTTCTATGAATCTTTTTAAGGGTATCTATTAGGTTTAGTATATCACCTATGCACGTAGTTAATAAGTCAATATTGACTTTACGAATTTGCGAGAACGGGTTGATTCAGGATGAGTGGCACTACAAAAAATATATGAAATATTTTTGTCTGTGACAACCGTGTCTAGTAGAGAGGTTGAGGAAACGGCTAAAGCGGCATATATTTTTATACTAACTGCTAGTTGATTATAAAATATACAACTGTGTCCGCATTGTTCATCTTGAGGCGTCGGGGCCACGGAAAGTCATAACGTATATCATGAACGAGTTAGTCCATTATTCAACAAATTGACGAGTGAGTATTGCGAGCGTGCAGCCACGCACGCACACGCGAACTTAGGCAAGCAAATTTCCTTTATAAATAACTAGAATCAAATAATAATCTTAAATGCAAAATGATAAGGATTGAATGAATTAATGAGAGAATAATGAGTGGAGGAAGCAGCGTCAGTGTGCCGGACGAGACACGCTAACACTAAGACAATCTTGTTTATGTCAAGAGACTTAGAAACGTCATCACTATTTCATTCGCAGCTGCAATACTGAGTGACGTGGTGACGGTGGTGGTGCAGAGGACGCACGGTTATCTTGAGGTTATCTTGAGATGATTTCGGGGCTTTAGTGTCCCCGCGGCCCGGTCCTCGACCAGGCCTCCACCCCCAGGAAGCAGCCCGTGACAGTTGACTAACACCCAGGTACCTATTTTACTGCTAGGTAACAGGGGCGTTCAGGGTGAAAGAAACTTTGCCCATTGTTTCTCGCCGGCGCCTAGGATCGAACCCAGGACCACAGGATCACAAGTCCAGCGTGCTGTCCGCTCGTCCCTTGACCCTTGACCCTTGAAGAACAAGACCACGAGCAACACCCGACTACTACGGTAATGACAAGGGCGAGGCCGTGTGAGGGCGCACGGGCCACTAACCTGAGGCCGTGTGAGGACGCACGGGCCACTAACCTGAGGGCGTGTGAGAGCGCACGTGCCACTAACCTGAGGCCGTGCAGGACTCCGACCCACGACATAGCGATCCCAAGGGCGCCTCACCAACACAGCTTTAATACCAAGCTATAAAACGCTCTCCCTCGGTACATTAAGTATACATAAAAATAGTCGTCCTTAAAAGAGACGCGACATTCGCTCCCAGCAGAAGCTTGTACAAACACCGCGCAGGTTTTACCAAAAAGAAGATAAGTGATTCAACGAAAGTGAGCGCTCGGGAGGAAGATCCAGGAGATGCGAGTAGTAAAATGAAATCATGTTTTTTGCATAATGGCTGAACGGGGGATCGTATAGCCAGACAGGGATCGCAAGGCTAAATTTAATGTTGATGGAGCACTGAGCTAAATTGTGTGTGTATAATACATTTTACCCGCCAAATATGTTGCGTATAAATAGGAGTTGCTGGCGCTGGCTAATAGGTCTTATTCAGCTTCTATTTTTTTATATTTGCTGTTACTCTTTGCCGCTGACTACCTCTTCAATCACCCTGAGGCGGCCCCCAGGGTCATTGAAGAGGTTTGGGACAATCAGCGTCAGGTCACTGAACACTTTGAAGGGGTTTTGATCTACATTCCACTATTGTTGTTGACGTATGACTTACATTGTGATGCAGGACACAACCTCTGTTCATACTGTTCACTCTGGCCTACAGAGTGGGTGTGGGTGGTACCTGGGTGTTAGTCAGCTGTCACGGGCTGCTTCCTGGGGGTGGAGGCCTGGTCGAAGACCGGGCCGCGGGGACACTAAAATCCCCGAAATCATCTCAAGATAACCTCAAGATAACCAAGATAACACTTGCCCCGCGCTCCAACAATGGTAGAAACCTCACATAGCAAGGCACCACCGGCCCAACGCATGATACGGGGGATGGTGTCAAGCAGCATACGGCTACGGTCGGTAGGGAGCCGGTCGGCCGAGCGGACAGCACGCTGGACTTGTGATCCTGTGGTCCTGGGTTCGATCCCAGGCGCCGGCGAGAAACATTGGGCAGAGTTTCTTTCACCCTATGCCCCTGTTACCTAGCAGTAAAATAGGTACCTGGGTGTTAGTCAGCTGTCACGGGCTGCTTCCTGGGGGTGGAGGCCTGGTCGAGGACCGGGCCGCGGGGACACTAAAAAGCCCCGAAATCATCTCAAGATAACCTCAAGATAACGGTAAGGC